GACGTCACTGAGGGCCAGGCTGCTTTGGGGGGCCTTGCAAAGGAGCTTGGAGAATTCCCCCCTGCCCTCCCTGGGGTAGAGGAAGAGTAGACAGAAGCAACTGCCCCTTGCTCCCGGGTCTTCTCTGCCCATCCCCGCCCAGGTGGTCGAGTGGGCACAGCCTCCAGGGAGGCCAGGGGCATGCTGGTGACCTCAGGACCCCCGACTGTCGTCTGAGGCACACACGTACCCTAGAAAGAACCAGAACTGGCCAGATCCTGCGCTTCAGGAAAGAGGAAGCCTGGGATTTGCACCGAAGTCTCCCACAGCCGCTGGGGTGATTCTCCCAGACGCCAAGCCTCTCCGTACGATGGACTCCCGCAATCCCAGTGTTGGCTACCCATGGCCCTGGACACCGATGATCCCACCCAGCCCCACCCAGGGAGGTGTGAGCAGGCCAGCCTGGCGGGCATGGCCGCGGGGGGTGGGGTGGGGGTGGCAGTGGAAGACGCTCAGAGGAGGGGACGGTCTTGTGTGAGGGGGGCGCTGCTTCTGAGCCAAGCGGGTTCAGGTTCAGGCTGAACCTGCAGCTTCCAGTGACCCCAGGAAGAGCCAGAGGCCGGGGAGAAGGCGCAGAAGGGCTGAAGGAGCCTGTGCAGGCAGGAGTCCTGGGTTTGAGCCCTGGCCCGGCCTGGCCCCGGGGCACCACTTCGCAGAGTACAGAACGCTAAGACAGAACAGCTTCTGGGCCCCAGCGTAGATGCACCCCCTGGAATTAGGGGAGTCTGGAAGAGCGAGTTTGCTACTTCCTTCCTTTTCTTTTTTTGAGGTGGGGGCTGGGGGGGCCACACCCAGCACTCCAGGCATCATATGGGGAACCTGGGTGGGCCCTGTGCAAGCCAAGCCCCCCAGTTCCCCCAGGACATCTCTCCTGCCCCTCTCTCCCTCTCTCTCTCTCTCTCTCTCTCTCTCTCTCTCTTTTTTTTTTGCTTTCTGGGTCACACCCGGCAATGCACAGGGGTTCCTCCTGGCTCATGCACTCAGGAATTCCTCCTGGCGGTGCTCGGGGACCCTGTGGGATGCTGGGGATCCAACCCGGGTCTGCCGCGTGTAAGGCAAACAGCCTCTCAATTTTTTAAACAGAGGCCACACCCAGTGCCTGGGGCCACTCTTGGGACTAGAGGTGGGGGTAGGAGTGGGGACTGCTTGGGGAACCCCAGATCCAACTCCCAGCCCCCCCACCCCCTCGCAGGCTCAGGCGTCTGCTAATCTCTCGGAGCTGCAAGTCCCTGCCCAGGCCTGGAGACTGTGTAGAGGAATCCAAGTGTGTCTCTAAATCTTGAGTCCGCTCCCAGGGGTGACACCCGTCAGGGGAGAAGCCACAAAGATCTTGGGAGAGGCCCACACCTGGTCTGGGCACCCCGCCTGCCCGGAAGCTGCCAGAACAAAGTTGGGGGGGGGGGCGCTGTGGTGCCCAAGGTGGATTTTCCTGCACGCACAGGGTTCCGCTCTGGGGGCGGGGCTCCAGCCAGCACCCACTCCTGCCCCCTCTGGCCTTTTCAGCAGCCAACCCTGCAGTGGGCGCATCCAGGTGTGGGATTCAGCAGGGCGGCTGCCAACCCACCGTACTTCTCTGGGACGGGCTCCCCGCTGCCCCCCACCAACCGCTGTCCCCTGGGGCGTCACAGTGGGGACAGCTGGAAGTCTCCAGAGGCTATGGGCTCGCCCACCCCCACTTAACTGCCCAGCAGCTCCCTGGGGGGATGGCGAAATGAGGACCTTGACCCCAGAGAATCCCTGAATAGAGGTGCTCCAGCTCAGCCCTATGCTCCAGCTCAGCCCTAGTGGGCAGAGGGAAGGGTGGAGGGGCTAACTGGAGACAGAGGCCAGAGTGTGGCCCCCACATGTAGGGATGAGCCTGGGCGTCCACTGTCCCCTGATCCCCCCCCCCCCCCCCACCGCCCCATCAGCTTCCTGTCCCCTTGCTGGGTGGTGTGGGAAGGTCCCCGGCAGGCTGCAGGCAGTGGGTGGCAGAAACTTTTCCAGAACATTTGCGCCGCACCCACACACCCACGGGGTGTACGTTCATGAAAGTGACCTGCTGTGGGGCCGGCCCAGGACAGGGCGGGACCAGTGCCCAGTTCTTGGCATTCCCGGCCAAGTGTCTGCCAGTGTCCCACACAAGTGAGGTGAGGACAAACCCCTCTATTTCCGGGCGACGGAGGGTGAGAGGGGCTGGGGGTGGGGGGCTGGATCGGCTCACTGAGTGCCTGGGCGGATTGGGTGCGAATTAGAAAGGACCCCCCCCCCATCTCCTCCCCACCCTGCCGACACCTGATCCTCACCCTGCTTTTCTTTTTCTTTTTTTTTGGGGGGGTCACATCCAGTGATGCATAGAGGTTAGATAGAGGTTAGTCCTGGTTCTCTCAGGAATCACCCCTGGTAGTGCTTAGGGGACCATATGGGACGCTGGGAATCGAACCCGGGTCAGTCGCGTGCAAGGCAAACACCCTCCCCGCTGTGCTATCGCTCCAGTCCCTCCAGTTCCTATTTCTCAGAGACCCACATCAGGTCCCCAGATCCCAACATCAGAAGCCAGAGTGACGCCCGCAGGGAGGGCACTTGCCTTGCACGTGGCCAACCCGGGTTCGATCCCCAGCCTCCCATATGGTCCCCCGAGCAAGGCCAGGAGTGAACCCCGAGTGCAGAGCCAGGGGTAAGCCCTGAGCAACCACTGACTGTGGCCCAAAGACCAAAACCAAATCACAAGGTTGGAGCCCGTGGGTCTCCCAAGAGAGGGGCGCTGTGAGTCATCCCCCCCGGGGGCCCCTGCTCTCAATTTAAAGCTTCAGTTCTCCGGAGACCTGGCTTGAAGCCGCAGATGGCGCAGCCAACAGTCCGCCTCTGCCTCCCTCGGGACGCTCTCTCTCTGCTCTCACCATGTGACCCTGGCCAGGTCCAGCCACCTGTGGAATGGGGTCAGGCTTCTGGTCCGGGCTCCGACACCCCTCTTGAAAAAAAAAGGGGGCTTTGCAGGCAGAAACGCTGTTCCTGAACCCCTTCCCCGAAGCAGTTCCGTCCCTGCTGAGCGCCGAGACGGCATCTCCTGGGTGCACCCTGTCCCATCCCCTGGGGCCTGTCAGCACCAGGCCCCCTCTGGTGGCACAATGGATCGGGCAGAGGGGCTCCAGGGTGGGGGGTGATGCAGGGCGAGGTACCCCTCCGGCTCTCTGCCGCCTCACCCAGGGGAAGCGAGCTGGGCTGGACACTCTCTAAAATCATTCCCGCCCCGGAATCCCACATGCCCAGCCCAGAGGGCACAGCAGACCAGCAGTGCCCGCCCCCGCCTCCCCCTCCCCCCTTCTCAAAGGGTGGGGGTGGCAGGTCCAAGCAGATACCAGGGGTGGCCCGGGAGCTGCCCATCAGTCTCAGGCCTGTGCATGGGAGGGGGGTGGCATTCTCTGCCCCCCCCACGCCCCCCCCCCCCAAGGGTGCAGCCTCCATCAGCAGAGTGCAAAGGACTGAGGCCCAGAGAGGCAGAGGGAGAGAGGACAGGCTGGGGAGCAGGAGTGCCCGGAAAACTCCCCAAAGGGCAAGGGTGGGGTAGGGCGGGGCCCACACACCCTTCTACATTCTTTTCCAGTGCCAGGGGTTGGTGAGAGGAAGCTCAGCTTGGCAGCTCAAGGCTGGCTGGTGGGAATCTGGGGGCGGGGAGGGGGGGGAGGGGGGGAGGGGGGAGGGGGAGGGGAGGGGGGGGTGGAGAGTAGCCAGAAGAGGATAAGGCACACCTAGCTTGGGGCTCCTCACTCTAGCCAGGACAGAGGCCAGCCAGGCTGGGCATCTGCGCTCCTACCACCCCGCACCCAAGTTCTTAGGAGACTTGCCCAGCGCTGTGGGGAGGCCCCCTCCGCCCCCAGCCGCCACCCCGACAGTTTTAGTCCAGATTCTCAGCACACTCTGGCTTCCAGAGCAGTTGCAGGGGACGGGGTTGGGTGGGGGTGGGGGGGGTCGCTGACTTTCCGAGCTCCTTCTCCAGCAGAGGGACAAGGTGGGGGGGGGGGGGGCTCTGCGTCCAGATGCGGGGGGGGAGATTCCAGTTCCCGTCTCGTCTCTGCAGGACCCTTAGCCACTGGGCTACCCCTACCCCGCCCCACCGGGGCACATTGGAGGGTGCGGCGGGCGGGCGGGCGGACGGGGGCGTTCTGGAGGGCCTGGCCGGGCACTGGGAGGTCCCGCGCCGGGAGGGGGTGAGCCCTGGCACCCCCCCAACGGTCCCGGAAATGGAGAAACGCCGGACCCATCCCACTAGGGGCGCCGATAGGCATCTGCCCTCCTCTCTCCAACTCGCCCCGAGTTTCTCCGCAGTTCCAGATACTTATCGCCCGGCCGGGGCGGGGGCGGAGGAGGAGAGGGAGTGTGGGGGGGGGGGAGTGGAGTGGGGTGGGGGGCGGGGGGGGAAGGTTGAGAATCAAGACAAGCGAGTCTTTCAGGTCGTTTTCGAGCGCGCTCGAACTTTCTCACGAAGCCCAAGAGGCCTGAAAGCACCGACGGTGCGTGCGCTCGGGACGGGCGCGCCCCAGGCTCTCCGCGGGCACGGACCTGGCCGGGGGTCTCGGGACCCCGCGGTGGGCACGCATCGCTCCCGGCTCCGCGGCCCCCTGCCCGCCCACACCCTGCGGCTGCTCCTTCTGCTCCCAGGGGCGCACCCCCCGCCGTCCCCCCGGGGCCCCCCCGGAGCTGGGCACGCCCAGGCCCGCTCCCCGGTCCCGGGTCCCGGCGCGCCCCGGCCGCGCCGCTGCGCCTGGCGCGCGTCCCGCTCCCAGCGTGCGGGTCCCCGCCCGCCTGTATCCGCGCGGGCCCACCGGGCCCGGGCCTCCTCCCTCCCCTCCCCCGTTCCCCCCACGGCCCGGGGCTGACTGCCTCCTCGGCGCGCCCACCGCCGAGACCCCCGACGCTCGGCACCCCGGGGCGCACCGGGGGAGCCCCCCGGAGGGGAGCGCGCCGCGCCCGCGCGCACTCACCCAGAAGATGAAGTTAAATCCAAAGAGCAGGTATTTGATGCACTTGGTGCCTCCCTTCACCGGCATGGTGCGGGCTTGCTGGGCCTGGGGCCGGACGGGCGTGGAACGCGGGCTCGAGCGCGGCCGGGACGGGCGCAAGCGGGACGCGCGGGAGGTGCGGGCGGCGGCGTCCGGGCGGGCCTCCGGGCTGCACTTTTAAAAACTGCCACTCCTAAGGGCGCCCGGCCGGCCGCGCTGCGCATGTGCCGCGGCGCCGCCCCCCGCAGGCCCCGCCCCGAGGCAGGCCACGCCCACGTCCCCCGCCCCGCCCCGCCCTCCTCCGCCCAGGTTCCCCGGGACACCTGGAGCCCGCGCGTCCCTCTCGCCCCATGCTGGCCTGGGATGCACCGGGCTGGCCCGCACCCGTCTTCCCGCCAGCCTCTCTCTCCTCCCCTTCCCAGTTCACGATGCTGGGGTTATTATTATTATTTTTTGTTTGTTTTTTTGGGGGTGTCACAACCGGAGATACTCAGGGATTATTCCTGGCTCTGCACTCTTGGCGGTGCTCGGGGGACCCTATGGGATGCCGGGGATGGAACCCAGGTCGGCCGCGTGCAAGGCAAACGCCCTCCCCGCTGTGCTATCACTCCAGCCCCACGATGCTGGGGGATTCTTATCTTAGCAGACCTCCACCTCCCCCTGCTATATGTAGATCCTGCCCTCCCACCCACCCATCCCTGCGGGTGCGTTTTACTTTTAGGGGCACCTTCCCCTGGTCGTCCGGGTAAAGCCTCCCTTGCTCAAGCGTGCCACAGCGCGAGAGCGCGCTTGCCTCGACCTCCCTTGGCAAGGAAACGGCCTGGCTTGGTTTCTTCCTGGAGCGCTGAGGTAGCGTATCTGCTGCAGAGGAGGAAGGAGATATTTACAGCCCAGGTGCTGAGAAGGATCGGAGGCTGGTGGACATACTTCTCAAATCACCATCAGCAACTCAGCCAGATCCCCCACTGGTTGCAGGTTGAGCCCTTGGGGAGTGCGTCTGGAATGTTCCCTTTAGAAGTCTGGAGAGTTTGGGGTCTGACTCAGTTCTTGCAGGTACTCGTGGGCCACCTACTTCCCTCTGGCCGGCCCTCCCAGCTCAGGGCTACTTCTGGAGTACTCTGTATTGGGCTAGATCTGAACAGATATCTCCACTCAAAAACTTAACTGTTGGACCGAGAGAGAGAGCGCACAGGCATGCAGGAGCTTGATTGCCCCGCAGCCAACTTAGTTTGAACCTCTGGCAAGCCCAGTTGGAATCCCTTGAGCACTGCTGAGGGGTCACTCCTGAGTGTAGAGCCAAGAGTAGCCCCTGATACCCCTGGGTGTGGCCTGGCCTGCTCCCCTGCCCCCAATCCTCAAACTTTCTGCAGATTCTTCCACCCCCCTGTGTAATAGCCTAAGTTGAAAATCCTCCCTCTCACGATTAATTCTTCATCTTTGCATCTTGGGTTTTGCATCAAGCATTCTTTCAACCAGACCTGGCGGCCCAGCTCTGTGTGTGTGTGTGTGTGTGTGTGTGTGTGTGTGTGTGTGTGTGTGTCTCACACTGAGGCGATTCTCCTTCATTGACATCTTCTGTGTTTTTCTGTCTTCAAAAGGAAGATTTCTTTAGTAATTGGTTTGGGGGCTGCAGATGGTAGTGCTTTGACGCTACTCCTGGCTTGGTGTGCAGGGAACCATGCTGGGGTCGAACCCAGGTATCATGTATTGCACAACCTGTGGTCCAGTCCTTGGAGCTATCTCCTCCCCTCCTGAAGTAATTTTTTTTTTTTTTGCTTTTTGAGTCACACCCGGCAATGAACAGGGGTTCCTCCTGGTTCTGCGCTCAGGAATTACCCCTGGCGATACTCAAGGGACCTTATGGGATGCTGGGAATGAACCTGGGTCGGTCACGTGCAAGGCAAATGCCCTACCTGCGGTGCTATTGCTCCAGCCCCGTCCTGAAGTAATTTTTTTTTTTTATTACAAAAGTAGAGCACAGGGACCGGGGCAACAGTACAGTGGGTAGGGCATTTGCCTTGCACGCACTGATTAGGGTTCGATCCCTGGCATCCTATGTTGATTCCCCAAGCACCTCCGGGAGTAATTCCTGAGTTCAAAGCCAGGAGTAATCCCTGAAAATCGCAAGGTGTGGCCCCAACCAAACAGAACAAGAAAAAGCAGAGCGCACTCATTACAGAAAGGTAAGAACATAACAACAAGCAAAAGAGAAAAAAAGGAAAAAGGTCACCCTACCGATCAAACCGCTTCCTATTTTGTAGCTGAGTTGTTTACTGTCATTTTTACTGTCATTTACTGTCATTTAATGTCATTTACTGTCATTTACATGTTTACTGTCATTGTGAGACTTGTCTCATGGATTCATTCCAAAATTTGGGGCCAGAGAGATAATACAGTGGGTAAGGTATTTGCCTTGCATGCAGCTGACCCGGGTGTAATATCTGGTACCCCATAGGGACCCCCCACGCCTGCCAAGATCAATCCCTGAGCACAGAGCCAGGAGTAAACCCTGAGCACTGCCAGATAGGATGCCAATACCAAAATAAAACAAAACAAAACAGTCAGGATTGACATATGAAGGAATTTTTAAATTTTTATTAAAGTTAGGAACTGGAAAAAGAAAATAAAAAAGTTTGAGATGGGGGCTGGACTGGGTAGGGCATTTGCCTTGCACGCACAATTAGGGTTCCATCCCTGTCATCCTATATTGATTTCCCCGAGTACCTCCAGGAGTAATTCCTGAGTGCATGAGCCAGGAGTAACCCCCATGCACTGCCGGTGTGACCCAAAAAGCAAAAATAAATAAATAAATAAATAAATGTTTGAGATGGTTTCTGCTCTGTGGGGTTTCAGAGTCTGCTGTGGCGAAGAGATGGCCCAGACCCAGGAAGAAGATTGCTACATGGTCATAGCTAGGCTTTGGCTAGGGACACGGACGGAGATTCCTGGGCCCTGGAGCTCTGGCTGAAGGTGAGGCCTCAGCCAGGGAGGAAGTGAGGAGAGGTCTTGGGGTCCTAGAGGTGGGTGCGCCCTATTCAGTTGCTGTGTGGTTATGTCAGGAGGGTGAGGGCCGGAGGGCACGCTGAGGGCATCTTCAGGGTAAGTCCCTTGTGTCTCCTGCTATAGGTTCAGAAATTTGGGGGGCAGGGGGTGTTGGGACACACCTGGTTGTGCTCAGGGCTTACCCCTGGCTTAAGCATCACTCCCGGAAGAACTCAGGGGACCATACAGGGTGCCGGGGATCGAACCCAGGTTGGCCACATGCAGGGCAAGCGCTCTACCCATTAGACTATCTCTCTGGCCCTCTTCAGAGTTTTGGACGATTCGAGAGCAGCCTGTGTCTGGGGAGGGACACTCAGCTAGTGAGGGGACGGTGTGGACGATAGGAGGCAGTTTCTGTGAGAGACAACGGAGGAGAGAAAGAAGGTGGAGGCTGGACTGAAGCTGTGGGAGAGCCCCATGAAGCACTTCATTCATTCAGTCACGGCATTCATTCAACTCTTTCCCGAGTGCCCATGGCCAACCACGCTTCTGCCGCTGGGTCGGAATCTCTGTGTGTGGCAGATGAATCCCAAGCAGGTAAATACAAGCCCATGGAATCTTCACCGCAGGGAGCCTGAAGCCAAGGCTCTGGGAGGGGCCCTGGGTGGGTTCCCAAGTTTGGCCTGAGTCAGAAGAGGCCTCTGAGACAGGGGGAATCCAGTGAGTCTGTGACTGAAACATCGAGGTCTGCAGACAAGGCTCCGTGGAGGGTATTCCAGGCCGGGAAAAGCATCAGAACAGAGTCACCGGGCTGGCGCGGTAGCACAGCGGGTAGGGCGTTTGCCTTGCACACGGCCGACCCTGGTTCAATCCCCAGCTTCCCATAGGGTCCCCTGAGCACCGCCAGGAGTAATTCCTGAATGCAGAGCCAGGAGTAACCCCTGAGCATCGCTGGAACAGAGTCACCGGGCTGGAGCGATAGCATAGTGGGTAGGGCGTTTGCCTTGCACGTGGCTGACCCGGGTTCGATTCCCAACATCCCATATGAACCCTTGAGCACCGCCAGGGGTAATTCCTGAGTGCAGAGCCAGGAGGAACCCCTGAGCATCATCGGGTGTGACCCAAAAAGAAAAAAAAAAAAGAACAGAGTCACCATCATGAAAGCCCAGGCAGCTGGCCGGAGGACAGGAAGGAACCCACAGGGCTGGGGGGAGGTGGGTGGAAGGAGGAGCAGAGAGAGCAGGATTCTCTGAACGCAGCCTGAGGCCAAGAGCAGCCAAGCAGAGATTGCTTGAGCCCTGTCCACTGAGGCTCGTGGGCCTTGGCAGGGTTGAGGGGTGTGGGGGAGCTGAGAACAATGTCCCATTATTAGGTGCCCAGCGTTCTCCGAGCCTGGAGAAATTGGTGGAAGTTCAGGAAAATTTTTTTTTTGCTTTTGCTTTTGGGGTCACACCCAGCGATGCACTAGGGGTTCCTCCTGGCTCTGTACTCAGGAGTTACTCCTGGCGGTGCTCAGGGGACCCTATGGGATGCTGGGAATCGAACCCAGGTCGGCCGCGTGCAAGGCAAAAGCCCTTCTCGCTGCACTATTGCTCCAGCCCCAGGAAAGAATTTTTTTTTTCTTTTTTCTCTCATCTCCCTTCACCCCTACCAGGAGCAAGGGACGGCATTGGGGGAAGGCGTTTGCTAAGGATCCAAGCTCCTAACCAAATGGACTTAGAGTTCTTTGGAGTTGTGAAGGAGGTAATCCCGCTTGCAGGGTGGAGGGTGGGTGGGAAAGAGGGGAGTCTTATATGGAGTCCACCCAGGGGATTTGAGCTATTGCTTTTGCAAAACCTTCCATAAGGCCCTCAAGGTTGGGCAGTTAGGTGTGAGTTGTGGGGGTCCTTGGCAGTTAATTTTTGGGAGTGAATAAAAGGCTCCAACCAAGAAACGTTCGGGCTTGGACGATATATACTGAAATAGCTGTCCTCTACTGCCAGCTCAGGGCTCTGCTTTCCGTGCTCTGGTGGCCAGGAATGAAGTCCAGGTGGGATTGCAGGGAACGAGGAAGCCCCCAAGACTAAAAGTTTTTTTTTTGCCTTGACACCCTCCTCGAGATAACCCTCAGCCCCCAGCTGAGGCAGCTTGAAGGAGAAACTGTGACGTCAACTTGGCGCGGGCTGGAGAGACAGAAAAGGGGTTATGGATTCCCCGGAGTACTGTCTGTCTGTACAGAGTACAG